CGAAATGTTATTTTTCTGTGTTTTTGGTTAGCAAATCTGATATATTCTTACCTGGCTTATCGACTTCTTTTTCGCATTACCTAAACATTATTAAATAGCACGTGAAATTGAAGAATACGCAAAGAGATACAATGTGTGTGTTTTAACAGCCGTTGACTGTCGAATTTACAGCGAAACTGCAAAATGTACATGTATTGGTCATAATATGCGAACGTTCTACATTTTAATAATATTCCACAAACCAGGCCACGCAGCCCGGCTTACCAGCGGACAGGCAGACAAGCTCAGCTTGTATTCATTTATTTTAATAAAGTTAAAAGCCACCTAACCATCAACGGCCACAACAACCTGTACACGAACAAATGTTCGACACTGTGCCAAAGTTCCTCGTCGTTGGAGGTAGTAAAATTAAAAATTTAAACGAGTTGCTTGAAAAATTTTTGCAAAAGCTCACCTTTTTTGTCGTCAGCTGGCTACTGCATCAGAGATTGTGGTGTAGCGCACAATCATATATGGAAACAAAGGCAGGGATAAAGAGAGAATAGGTCAGGGCTCATTCATTAACATTTGCGCCAAGGAGAAAGCGTCTGTTTGTCCGCCTATCAGACTGTCAGGCAGATGGTTTTGGTTGTCTGGTTGTATTTTCACTGCTTCTGCATGGCAAAATAACAACCCCCAATTGGTGTGCTGTACACTTTTCTCTGGCAAGTGCAAAGTGCTTACATTTTTCTGGCAACGGAAATTCGTATTGCTTCCGGCTTTTTGCTTCAACTCCCTTTTACTTCGACTGCGGCTGTTGCTTGCGATTGCAAATTTTTGTATGCAGCGGCCATGCCAAAAATGCTTTGCCAATACTTTCACTTCCATCAGTATGTGTGCATGAAGTATATACCTATATGTGCGCCAATAAGTTATACGCTTCTCCATTGCCTGGTGTCAGGCGCACGTAGTTGCCAGCCAAGGCAGCGTTCGTGCCAAAAACAAAGGATTATAATGGCAGTGATGACCTACGTTCAGCAGCTTAACACGATTCCAAATTTTACACACGAGTACAGCAAATTCTTTTACTTATTTAATGGACCTTTTTTATTCACACTGTTGCAAGCTAAGCCATCAATGTCCTGTTTGCCTCTCCACCAAATTTAAATACCGGCATTACTAACATATTCCATTGCGATTGATATTTTAAATCCAGCTTTTAAATTGAAAAACTAAAAGATATGAATTCGCAGCTTTTCCCTGGCGATCGATTAAGCTTCTCACTGTGGTCAAGGTCTATCAACTTTATTTATATCCAAATGCTTTTGAAGGTATCGTGTTATTATACAGATATAGGATTTTAGCTCAATTGCTTATTAAGTGTTTTCAAGTGTTGCGAGCTTAAAATATTGATTTTCGTATCCTACATATTATTAAGTATCTTCAGCTCACACACAAACCGTTTAACTTTCTGGTCAACATTCCTAATACTGGACAATATTCATCGAGGAAAGTTTTGCTTAGCTTCTTTACCGTGATACTTTTGGCCTTCGCAGTTTGACATCGTCCTCAACACCCTCTACGCTTCTTTTAATATTTAGGTTTACTAGGATTGGCTATTGCTGTTATTGCTGTTGTTGTTGTTGCTGTTGTTAGTGGGACTTTGTTAAGCTCATATCAGCTGACCGACCGCATGCAACTTTGTTGATATCGTTGGTTGGGGTCCATTTGCTTTTATTATATTTTTCGTTGTATACTATTTCAATTTTGTTAAGTTTTCGCCTTTCCCCTTTGTGTGCGTTGCTTCCTTTTCGTATCTACGCGTAGACACTTGATGTCCCATGCTACGTCCATAATGGAATTATTTGTATTAAATTGTGGCAACCAATAAATGAAATTGGAGCAGATCTCCCAACATCATTATCACTACCTACGTCTTTGGCAGCAGCAGCAGCAACACTAACACAATTGAAAACTTGCAGAATGACGCTTTTATTCGCCTAGAAGGCGCTTCAAATTAAATTAAAAGTTGTGGTTCCTTCCCCTTTGCTTCACTTTGATTTCGCCTTCAATGTAGCCATTTTGGAGCTCCTTGAGCTCGCATTCCTTTGATGTTGTTGGGTTAAGCGCTTTTATCTGGACCGCAAACAGCTTTTCCTTTAGGTCTAAGCTTTGAGCAATTTTTGTAAATATATATACGGAGGTAGTTTAATGCTATTGCCTAGTGACGAATATCAATTTAAGTGCAGGTGCTTTTCCACTTTGTCGGGATCTCTCTATACGCTCGACAGAGTTCAGACCAAGCTGTAGGACAACGCCAGACGCTGCATACAATCATTTCACTGAAAGCAAAAAAGCACTGAAGAGTATCTATTCGCTTTTGCACTTGCTGACAAAGATTGATAGGCGGGAGTATTAAGTGCATTATAAACAAGTTAGATAGCTCAAGGAAGAATTTGAATAATGTATTGTACGTATTGTATTGTAATATTATTATAGAAGACCATTAGAAAAAAACTTTGAAAATTCCAAAATCATCGAAAGAATACGAGTACAATATATACAGGCAGCCTGACCCACGAACCATCTGCCTTTTACATACTGTTGCACAAGTCTATTAGATCCTATTTAAAGAGTTTAATAGCGGGTCACATGAAAAGAAAAATAAGGTTTAAGTTCTTTTGTGGGATTTGCTGGCACATTTCTTGACGCCGTCAGAAATGTTGAACTTTTTTCATTTTGACTAATTTTTTTTTCTCTGTTATTTCGCTCTTAGCTTTCATCACTCTTTTGTCAACTGATTAATTGATAAATCAATGACAACTTTTGGGGGTCGTTTTGAGACCTTCCCCATTGCAATCGTCAGTCAACTATCGACTTGCGGCTACAGATGGTCATGGGTCGTGTTTTTATACCCTGAACCCATTTAAAATGGGTAAACAGGGTATATTGTATTTGTACAAATGTATGTAATAGGCAGAAGGAAGCATCTCCGACCCCATACGGTATATATATTCTTGATCAGCATCAATAGCCGAGTCGATCTAGCCATGTCCGTCTGTCCGTCCGTCCGTCTGTCCGTATGTATGAACGCAAGGATCTCAGAACCTACAGGAGCTAGAGACTTGAAATTAGCTGTAGGTCCTCCTAGTCCCCGCGCAGATCGAGTTTGTTTCCGATATTCGATAACTTTCCCCGTTTCTAAGTAATCGATAAAAATCGATATCGAAATCCCGTTTTTTGAGCAATTTTGGCAAATAGTATGAGCTAGAAATACCAAACTTTACATGTAGCTTCTAGAATAGTATATATATATATAGTATTTTTCATTTTATCGGAAGAAGAGGGTTCAGGGTATCCCCTATTCGGGAGCTCCCGACTAGAACCTCTTATTTGTTTTCAATATCACCGTGGCAATCCGGGGCAAGATGAACCCGTTTTTTTCTATATCGTATTGTCCATACGTGCTTATACGTTTAATATCTATTTGCAACATCTCCTTCGGTCTCTTATATAAGGCTAAGTTTGATCTCTCAGCTTGCATTTACAATTGAATTTGCATAAATCACATTTTCTTTGCTTCGTTGTCTGCTAAGGAAACTTAACTAAACTAAACGCAAAATACGTTTATATTTTAGATAAACTCTTGGCACTTGTTGGCACTGTCGGTTTCTGCTTTATGTTGTGCTTGAGTACAGTCCCCTCGTGAGTGCATTTTGAAACTGTACAGCCTCTGTTGCAGTGTACCAAGCTTCGACGCCTTCTCCTCTTACTACGGCCGGTGCGGAAAATAAGTGGTTTTGTGTGTCTTCACATTCCAATCAATTATTTTCAATTAACTTCTGCATCTCTGACTCGGCGATTTGACGGTCTTATGTCTGAAATTAGGCTCCCTGAAAAAACACATAGAGCAAACAGACATAGATCTATTATATAGATCTCAAGTGTTAAAGTTAACCAACTGCGTCAATTATGCGATATAAATTATATGTATATGCAATATATTTAGGTAAATAAAAGAGGAAATATTTCACGTTCAAAAAATTGCCGACTATAAAACGGTTCAGCATATAAACGACCACAATAAAGTATGTTATTATATTAAATCCAATCACCCATTAAATTACGAGCGAGGCATGCAAAGAGGTAGACGGTCGAATAACATATCCTTTGAGTAGGGTCACCAAATTTGAAGACTGGGCAGCTGTGTTGATATCCCCTAATCTCTAAATAAAACTGTTTGTCCTGACTGACTTAAGGACTGACTGATTGGTGATCAACGCACAGCCCAAACCGTTAGAGCTTTCCTTGGTGGAAATAGGGGTCAAAGATTTGGTAGGTGATGTTTCGGGTTCAAATTCTTTTTTTAGAATCTTTATGAGAATTCATTTGAGCCGTGTTACACACGGCTTGCCGAATCCAAGCTTCTTCGATGAAAATTTTTGTACGATTGGCTTCAAACTTAATTTCATAGCTTTACTTACGAACTTAATGAATAAGTGTTTCTTCGATTTTAGATTTTTTGTAAAAACGGTTGTAAGAAAGTTATTTTATTACTATCCGATCAGAATAAAATAATTTGCAAAGATCTTTGTGAAAATTTATCCGATATGTGTTTCACACTTTTCGCTAAATTTACACTACTTAGATAATAAATGAGGTTCAAATGGGTAAAGTCTCGGGTGTAAAGATTCATAAGAAAATTTACTTGAGCAAAATGTGGGCTAACTCGATGGAAAATTCAGCTCACGATTTTGGGGAAGCTCTAAGTTTCGTTCCATCGGTCGTTCCTTCAAATCCCTAAATGAGAAGTTGATGATTACGTTTAAGGACACCTGAAAATTAACAAGACACGTATATATAAATATTCCTCTTCTAAGCGAATCTTACTAATTCAAGTTATTTTCACCAATTCAGCTGCATTTTTAAGTTAGTATTCATTACCTCAGTTTTTCTCTTCTTTCAGTGATGCGTTTATATAAAAGTTCGTCTTCCTCCTATTAATAGATGACGATAAAATAATCGTGTGTGTGAATTTACGGGTGAGTAATCAATGACAAATATATATTTATCTCTATATATAAATTCGTTTGTCCTGAGTGACAAATAAAGTATAGAACCTATACATATCTTATAATAGTGAGCTTATATGGAACAAAGTATATAATAATACAAGTGTTTTGTATGTGTGTGTGTATGTGCGCGTGTGTGTGTTAGTGTATACATACATGTATGCATGCATTTATGAATACATGTATGCATGCATGCTTGTTTTCTAATACCATGTGCTGCAAATTAAAAAAAAACGAATTTCTACCAAGTGCTCTACTCCTCGATTCTCAAGAATTCACGTAGACCTTGCTGAAATTTAACAAGGGAGGAAACGTTGTCTCCAACGGCCTCTGGAGGAGCAACTGTGGAGGAGGCGGTGGAGCGGGAGGCAGCGGCGCAGGAGGAGGTGGAGGGGGTAAGTAGATATGTATTTAGATGTATGTATGTAGATGTATGTATGTAGATGTATGTATGTAGATGTATGTATGTATGTAGATGTATGTATGTAGATGTATGTATGTAGATGTATGTATGTAGATGTATGTATGTAGATGTATGTATGTATGTATGTATGTATGTATGTATGTATGTATGTATGTATGTATGTATGTATGTATGTATGTATGTATGTATGTATGTATGTATGTATGTATGTATGTATGTATGTATGTATGTATGTATGTATGTATGTATGTATGTATGTATGTATGTATGTATGTATGTATGTATGTATGTATGTATGTATGTATGTATGTATGTATGTATGTATGTATGTATGTATGTATGTATGTATGTATGTATGTATGTATGTATGTATGGATGGATGGATGGATGGATGGATGGATGGATGGATGGATGGATGGATGGATGGATGGATGGATGGATGGATGGATGGATGGATGGATGGATGGATGTATGTATGTATGTATGTATGTATGTATGTATGTATGTATGTATGTATGTATGTATGTTTGTATGTATATGTATATATGTACTTCAAAAGTTTCCACCCCCATAGCTCGGCCAAATCTCGCGTTTGGCTTTTTGTTAATGGTTTGACACTTTGATGTATGTATGTATGTATGTATGTATGTATGTATGTATGTATGTATGTATGTATGTATGTATGTATGTATGTATGTATGTATGTGTGTATATGTATATATGTACTTCAAAAGTTTCCACCCCCAAAGCTCGGCCAAATCTCATACGATTATTACGACGTTTGGCTTTTTGTTAATGGTTTGACACTTTGATGCATTTTTTTAAATTAAAATCTGGCAACATTATTCTTGGTCAAAATTCGTGTGAAAATGGTATCCTCAAATATCCTGTCTAGACATAGGTCGAAATTTCCCGGACAAGGCCGTGGTATAACCGCTAGTATGGATGTATGTATATATATATATATCAGAGCAACAACCATATTGTGGTTGGCAAAAAGAACCATCAAAGCTGTAAACCACAGCTTCAGACTGCTTGCAGAAAAACGGGAAACTTGATAAAGGCGTTGGTCAGCTTTAGCACCGCAAACAAGGACAGTATTAACAATGAGAAAGCTTCGCTGAACTTACGCCATTCCAAGGTTCTTAAGCACAAACATTCAGGGAAGTTGGATGAAGACATACAGCCGTCCCAATTGAAGCCGCAAACGACAAGCTGTATAAGTTACTAAATGGGCCAAGATGTCGTTTCCGTCAATGAGCATGTTTGTTAACAGGGCGGCATGTAGCCGGAAACCGCGAAAAATAGTCCAGAGCTAAGAAAAGACCAAAATATTAGCAGGTGAATTTGATAAGAGGGTAGCACATTTGAAAGTTCACAATGACTTCCAGTTGCGAATATCGATTTTTGCATATTCTTTTATTCCCTAGTCAGCTTTTGCTTTTTCACCCTTCACAGTCTTAACTTGTATATTTGCTTTGTCATGTTTGACAGCGTCATTTTAAATACTTGGGTGTCTTAGTGGGGCGATACTAAACTACGCCCATCAAACACTTACATACACGCATAATTAAAACGAAAAACTTATTCGGGCATTAATGGTGCTGATTTGATTTTCTGCTGACTCCTTGTATTTAAAGTATAGGCGGCCTGCATTCGCTCGATCTCCATATGGGCTTATGGTTATTGAATGCTTTTAACTCTCTTCTCATTAAAATTTTAAAAGTAGGGCAAGTTGACCCCTCTTCACCTAACTCGAGTAATAATCATTTAAATCTAGTTCTGTACAAAGAGTGTATCTTCGACGTTTACTTGTATAACAAATACAAAAGGCATTATACATGGAGTTAATGCATTTTAAAAGTAATCATATATGTAGATGGCATTGCTTAGTTCTTAGCACTCGCGTTTTTTGAAAAAGGTGTTTTTTTTTTATATTAATAAGGTACACACGTTTTGTGTAAACCTAAATAAGCAAACGCATAAGTATGCACATTCTAAAGCACAAATGACCTCGGCCGGTCATGAATACGGAAATTGAACAGCATAAAAGCACAGCAAAGGAAGCAATTTTCCCAATGACTGCATTTGCACAAAATGGTTAGATTTAAACAAGTCAGTTGCCAACTGTAAGGTAGGGAAATAGAGAGAACAATAGTAGGATTTCCTACAGATAGCGTTGCGCCACGTCAATTAAAAACAGCATAGTTGCACACAAACACACTTACACGCACACGCACACAGTCAGAGATGCATAAGAAGCTGATGAGAAGGTGGGTCTAATCAGTTATTGCATTCTTAAGTGACCCGTCACCTGTGGAAGGAAGCCATTCGATATACATTTTTAGTTTTCTAGAGTAAACGTATTTTTGAGAAATGAATTTTATGCTGCAGAAGCAGATCAAACGGTTTCAATCCAGGCTGAACAGCAAAAACAAAGGAAAAACTGTTGGAAAATATTTAAAATGCAATTCTAAAGCGATTTGTTTTATGGCCACTGCTGCTAAAAGGAAAATGACTGCTAGGTACAGCAAAAGAGAAAAGCGCACTCATCGTTCCACTCACAATTGTTTCGTTAGCACCAGTATTTTTGGATCTCTTTATATCCGTTTCCGGCGTACGGTCGACTGCACCCGAGAGAAACTGCGGTGCGGAAAACTTAACTCGTATTTGATGTTGCCAAGCAGCTGTTAATGCTGCATGATTTATATCGAGACTGCCAACGGCAGACCCCGGCGGTCAGCTAGCTAGGCAACTCATTATATGGCACTTCATTCACGTAACTAGAATACGAATACATACAGATATATACATGTTTAGAGCATTTTCCTTTCCGTATGGTTGTGGTCCCATCAGCCGTTGTAATATGAGTGTCATGACGCTCCGGTTGGGCATATGTAAACTTTTGGCAATGCCAGAGACCACGGGTCGCTAACCCGCTTTTAAGGATTAGCGCCCATCGCTGCGGTGCATGCATTTCCGCTTTCGTTGCTCTTCGTGAATTTTGCTTTCTACCGAATTTGCATGATGCTATCCCGGCGTTAAGTTTATTATTTTATCAGGTTAGTATATGCGGCTCTTTTGAATTTTGTGGTACGGGACTTAGCCCTGATAGACCTGCTCGATGCCCTTACGTTGTTGTCCGCTTGGGTAGGACATCTTCTGGCCCTGATGCTCTTTTTGTGGCTTTCACTCGCGTGTTGTCCTGTGTAAAATGATTTGTGTATCCGCATTCACTTGTTTTTTTGCGCAAAGGCCACGTCTGCTCACGCCCTGGAGAGCATAAATCAATATTCAAACATTTGTTTAACTCATACAAAGTAACGCACACACACACACACACACATGATCACACTAACACACACACGCAGATTGGCACACTCAAATCATACATACCGAGCAAATGTACATACGCAAAAGTTTTTTTCAGACCCAACTGTGACCTGAGCTATACAAATTTATAGCTGACTATAAACAGACATATTTATAGTCATGCTCGTTATTATGTTTATACCAACAATTAGAGCTATTATATTTGTTGTATCAATAGTCTGGATAACGAGACGGCCCATCTTTAATGTATTAGGCGCCATAAAATGCTGCACAAATTGGAAACTCACATACAAGGACATCCACACCTGTGGCTACCGTTGAAAGGTTTCATGGCTTGATGATAGCTTTGTTGCCACATGGTCCAGTGAATTGCCGACAATACTTTGAGTCCAGAACTAAGCAGAAGAAAAAAAATACACGTGTGCTAAGTACACTTAGAGTATTTAATATAATGCGTAGATGCTTATCATTTGCATTATTATCAATCTGTAAAGTTCAGTGCTTAATGTGGGATGACCTGGCGTGTTTGTAAATTGGCAACTACGTAATTAAAGCTTAAGCCAATCCTGGGCGTATTTAAGAAATAAGGCCGATTGTTAGTTAATTGTAGCAAGTGGCTTAAAATCAGATAATCTCTGCAAGGCGCTTGAATTAAGAGTCCGAAAGTTAGCTCGCCAATAGAACAACAGAAAGAACCACTTTAGAAAATTGTTTTTCGAGAAAAATAATTGGAACATAAATTCGTTTGACCTCATTTTAGTTTTAAGGAGACAGACCCCCCGTGAACATCCATTCATTACCTGAACCTGCAACGGAACCAAAAGATTTGCGCCAGTTGCAGTAAATCTGTTAAAGCAGAATAAAAAACTGTGTCAACAGCAGAGCCCCAAGTAAAGCATCTCAATTTGTAAGTAGGGTAGCAGGGATCAAGAACGCTGAAGAGGAAGACGTTGCCCCCAGCACGAAACAGTAAAATAAAATACTAAAACGCTTGAGGCATTTATAGTTATTCCACTTTTATGCCGTTGCCACGCTTGCCAGCTGACTGGCACTTTTTATGTCCTGCCTTGTTGTTCCATTTCAATGCAAGTATTTAACTATGCTCAACACTCTAGCCAGCCCGAGCGTGGCCGTCTGCCGTCTGCCGTCTCGCATGAGAATATCCGTGACTATATATGACGACAGCCGACTGCCACACTTAAATTTGAACTAA